GGAGCAGGAACAATAATGGGGGGCAGCTGGGGAACTGGAGGAGGAGGGGCAGGAGCGCGAATGATGATGGGGGGCAGCCGGGGTGCTGGTGGAGGAGGGGCAGGTGGGGAAATGATAATGGGAGGTAACCGGGGAGGAGGGGGGGGAGGGGCAGGCTGACGAATTATGATGGGAGGTAAGCGGGGAGCAGGCGGTGGAGGAGGGATGGGAGGGCGAACTATAAGCGGGGGTACAGGAGCGTGACCAAGAGCAGAAGCTTGTGACCTGTAGACTGGATATCGGACAGGGTAGGGAAAAGCACTTCGGACAGGCTTTGTCAACCTTCCTTGTGCAAATCCTCCCATAGACTGCAAATAAAACACACGAAAAAACAAGATTAATTCTGCTGCTAATCAGTTGTGATCCACAAGTTCTTTGCTCTCTGTTATGAAAAAGAATTGTCATTGTGCAGTACAGTTTGTCAAGATTTAGTTGTGGAAACAGGAGAGTTGCATCCTTACAGAATTTTAGAAAGACCTTCATAATAATCATGCATGGATAAAACAGAAATAAATAACAAATATGCATCAAATTAATCAAAGTTCTTTCATCACTTGGTGATGAATCATTCTCAGCTTGAGCTAACAAGTAAATATGGATTGGAGACCCCAGAAAATATGTTGGCTTAAGAACCACGTCATGGGCCTAGTTATGCAGATAACTTTATACTGTGTCTCACACTTTTAATAGGAGGGTAAGTTAATTTATTGACAAAATAATTGTTTTTATATAGGTGGTCATTCAGATAAATGTAATCCTAAATTAATCAAAATATTTTCCTTTTGTTTTGTTTTCAGATTGTACTTAACCTCAGACAAATCTATACTATAGTCTCTTGAGGCACTATTTTAACAGTGAGCAGGATCATTGCACATTTTTGTGAAATGGAATTTCAGGAGGGATGAAGGCAACCAAGTTATTTTCTAAAGCCAACAGTTTTAAATCATAATATTTCCCAATGTTAGTTCTCCAAAACTATAGATATCACACAAATCCATCTCTTTCTATATTTCGTCTCCTGCATCCTCTACCCCATCTCCACCTGTGCAGCTGCCCCTTGGTCAATCTTCTGCAGGGGTCCAAGCCTCCTCATCCTGTGGCTGGCCCTTAACCAAGATGGTTAAGCCAATACCATACCTAAATACTCAATAAAGAATCTCAAGCATCTGATTCTTGGGTGTTGTTATTCCTTGTAGAACATAATTACATCAGCTTTAACTGGCAAAAAGTAATCTAAATAAAATTGCAGCATTGTGCATCCTTGCTGAACTGTAAGTAATTAGATGGCATGCCCAAAATATGCATCCATAAGAAAATAAGAAAGATTTCAATTGAAAGGAGGCCACACGGCCTGTCTGACTCATTTGGTTGCCAGTAGCTAACTGATCTGAAGGACTCATCCAGCTGTTTCTTGAAGGAAATCAGGATATCAAGACATCAGTTAAAGGTGGGACTTCACCGTGGATGGTTGAATGGGCACCATTCCATTGCAGGACGCAGACAGGGACAATTTAGAAACTCCTGTTAACTCCGTCAGTATGTCTCTGGGAGGTGGTGCAAGCCTATGTTCTTGGAGAAACTCATGCTAACATAGGTAAAACATGCAAAACCCGTACAGAAGACACCCTAGTTCTGGAATCGAACCCAGGACCCTGCTCTAATCATCAACTATTTTCCCACCTCATATGCCTAATGTATCCAAAACAATGTTGAAAGAGACAGCTGCAATGCAATGGTTTTTAACACTAAGTTAAAATGTCAATAAGTTTTTTTTGCCAAAATAATCAAAATATCCTCAACGAAAGTTACAAAAGTCTTTAGATGGTTATGCTGTAGTTTTTATTGTAAAACTGCATTTTTGATTTTGACACACAAGTTAAACGCAATTAGAAAACACTGAAATCCCATTTTATTTTTTTAACTTTGTAACATATGTACAGTATGTACTACAATATTTTAAATAAGCTCATGATACTTCAACAACTTTCCAATGTGTTTGGTGTAGGTCTATCTTAGTCGAGATCATTTAATTTCAGACCAAATATTGAAGTTGCCAAAAATGAACTCATGCAAAAAAAAAGTTAAATGCCATCTTAAAAAGGAGTACTGAATCCGAGACCTGGATTTTGATGCTTGTACTCTATTCCATAAAAATGATTTGATTTATTATACTGATTTATATTTTGCAAATTTTGGTTGCTTAAAAAAAAATTCAATTGATTGGGATCTAATAATTATTGTGACATCCACAACATCACCCTTAAAAAACACTTCTAAGTTTGTGAAGTTATGAATTGGTTATATTTCCATCATATACATTTGTACTGTATATGTATTGTAACATTACAAAGATGCACATTTATTTTGCTCTGTTTAATACAGTATTTTAAAGGAACAATTGTTAATCCCTTGTTTGACTTATAAATAACAATCTAATTGTATCTTCTTTCTTTAATAAGGAGTTGTTAAAAACATTAGTTATTCTTATTCTTACCTCAAAGCTTGAAGATCTAGCTTTACGAGAATGTTTCTCAGAGACCTAAAATCAACAACCAACAATCAATAACAGTAGATAAAGTGAGAATCATCATATCAAACGTGTCTCCTCAAAGTAATATTCAGGTAAACTGTAATCCTTACTTACAGGAACAGAGTTGCTGAAGCTCACCAGGAACAAAAAAGTGAGCACGAGCGACTTCATTTTGAAGCCACTTCCTAAAACAAAACATTGGTAAATTATTGCAGCATTAAAAATGAACAAGTCATAAGCTCTGCATGGATATTCCATTCCTTTTTCTAAAGAAGGAGCAAGGATGAACGAGTTTACCTCTTTCAGGATGCTCCATTGCTGGCAGTGCCTGATTTGGCAGACCCTTAAAGTATTGACAGCATGATACGTGACTCAGTTGAAACTTCTGCAGGTCTCTGCTCCAATCCTGTCACTGCTGTTTAAATATGATCTTAATTGCGCGCTAACCAATCAGCACTAAAGGAGAAACCTCTATGAATTTAATGGGGGCTTTTACACCAAATAAGCATGCAAGCACATTTTTTTCAGACACAACTATGATGTAATAACCCAGTTATTTGCTGAAAAGAAAAGAAAACTAAAAATCTACGCATGTACAGTACATTTTGGCATGCTTTTCGATGATTCACGTTTACAAGTTATGGTTTGTCAGTTTCTCAATAAGCAAAACATCTTTGTGAGCCAAATCAGTACAAATGTCAATATTTGATCTTTGGAGACAATAACAAGGTGGTAATTATCCGTATCTTTTCCTTTTATGCACTCTGGCATCTTCTTCTTTTTTGTCCACATGCTAAATGAAAAACAATTAAAAGAATACTTTATTAGAGGCTATATTATAGGTGAATATTATATAAACCAGAAATAAAATATGTCTCAAAAACAGACAATATTCTGCATATATTCATTACTATTCATGTGTACCTGCAGTAATACCTTTTGTGCATAAGGAATGACCAGATTGGGTGTGTTTGCAACATACAGTGCCTTGCGAAAGTATTCGGCCCCCTTGAACTTTTCAACCTTTTGCCACATTTCAGGCTTCAAACATAAAGATATA